CTTGTACCATACTGGTGCATGACAATAATAGGGAGAACTAACATCATGAATTTTCTGTAACGCTAAGGCTATTCTAAACAAGTTTTTTGTTTTTATTGTGGAAGAGGTCTAGGAGGTAGTATGAGGTCAGACCATATCCCCTTGTCAGTTCAAGTAGTCCACAGCCTGGTCTCCCCAGCCTGTCTCTTTCTCACACCCTGCTGGATTCACCTTCCTCAAATTTATCTTCGGTTCTTGTACCCAAAACTGTGTCAAACACTGGGTAATACGCGAGTCTCTTCTAACTCTAACCAACCTCCTTTAACGGCTTCCTCAGCCCCCTCCCTAAACTCCAGTGGAAACCATGTCCATCCACCTCCATGCCAGCCATCTGCCAGGGCTTCCAACCACGGCTGCTCTGCCTTCTTACATCCGAATCCTTCTCCTTCGAGGTCCTCCTGAAATCCCATTCTGTTGGTTAAGACCATCTACATCCTCATCCCTGCCAGCCCAAGGATTTCTGTCCTTCCCAAACCTGCAGTGCTCTTCTGTTCAATGCACACTACCTTCCTGAACAAGGCACCAACCCCCCACCATTCACTTGTTTTATGCTCTTGGGCAAACCCACTATCCCCTGCTACAGAAAGGTATAGAGGGGAGGGAAAGAATGAACTTCACAGGTGGGTATTCATCTTGGAATGTTAAGTGCTTTGCATAGAAGAACTGACGTTCCCTGAGCACCTCGGTGGCACAGTCACTTTATGTGGGACAAGCGAATTTTTTTATTTTTTATTGGGAAACCAATGTAACAAACCTAGACTTGTTGAAAATGAAATCAGTAACTAAGACTTTGCAGGCCCCATCCCCAGCCAGCACCAAGGCCTCTGCCTGGCCTGACCCCAGTTCCTCAAGCCACCAAAAGGACAACCATGTTGAGAAGCTGAGGGCAACCTCAGGGCTAGTTTCCCACACTGCAACCCCCTCAACCCCACCCTCCATTGACACACATACCCTGGATCTACAGTCTGGGTCTAGGCCCACGGAGGGTACAGTGAGGTTCCCAGGGTGGCAGGGAATCACGGCCACACCCCAACCTGCTCAAATCCCAAGTTAGCAAAGGAAGACAGAAAAACGACTGGCGTGCCTACCCACTCCCCCCTCCCCAGCCACCCCAGACAACAGCCTCACATCCCTGATCAGTAACACTGTGATTCTGAGGTGCCAATGGGGCTCCCAGTGGCTTCACCAGACCCTGGGTGATTACTGCAAAGGGCTTAGAGCCCAGGGGAGGGGACAGGCATTGCCCCACCACCTGCTCAGTATTAGCCAGCTAAGCTCCTGCCCTAAACTTGTGCCTGGGGTGCCTGTAGCCCCTTTCCCCTCCAGACATCCATGGCTCGGAACCAGTCCTCCTGCTAGAGAGAAATCAGTTCCAGGAGGCCCTTTCTCCCCCAGCCCGGGAGGAAGGATGGCCTGTGAGCTGGCTACACCAGCTTCTTCGCTTCAAAGAAGCTCTTGAGGTGTCGCATCTGCCACACGCCGATGGCTACGAGGATGAGGGTCTGCAGAATGGACCACCACAGCACCCGCTGGTTGGTGCTCTCGCTGGTCTGCCGGAAACGCTCCTCTCGCCACTGTGGGAGGGGAGAGCGGAAGAGGAGCTTAAGTTTGCTGGGCACCACCTGGCGCCACTCTAACTGCTGGGTTCCCTTTGCAGAGGATGCCCCAGAATCAAGGAGCTATGCCCAGGTTCCAATCAAGTGTCTGCAAAGAGCCAGAGACCCCATCTGGGGACTGTATTCATCCTCCCCAGCCAGATGACCTCCAGGAACCCACTCATTTAAGTCTGTTTGCTTGGGGGTGCCTGGCTGGCTCAGCTGGTAGAGCATGCAACTCTTGGGGTTGAAGCTCCACACTGGGCATGCAGCCTACTTCAAACCAACCAACCAACCTCTGTCTGCTCATGTGTCAGGTACAGCCCTCCCCTGGTCCTCTCCTGGAGCCAGTGGGGGGGGGGGGGGGGGAGGTGAAGTGCCAGTAGTATCACCCCGTCAGACAGAGCTGCCCTATAGCACTCAGGAGTGCACGTGCTCTAAGCTCTCTGCCCAGGTCTTCCCCAACTGCTCCTCGAGGATTGTGGGCACAAGTTGCAAACTGGTGGCCCAGTGGCTGGATGTGTTTCGCCAATAGTTAAAACCTGGTAAAAATTCACATCAAAACACTTGGATCTCTAGCTTCTCTTAAAAGCCAGGGCTAGCGTATCTATCTGCAAGGCTACCCTGGGTTGACAATTAACCGAGGCCACTGAGGATTAGACACACAACAGTCCTTATGGTCACAGATTCATTCATAGTACCGCCTGGCTCCTGGACACAAATGAGTTTGAAACAGCTGGTCCTGGAAGCACCTGGAGCCATGGAAATAACACCCAAGGTATTAATATCAATTCCCGCTCTGTCACTGTGTACATGTAACTGGGATTTAGAGCAATGATGGCCTCTCAAGAGCCTGTCTCCTTGGTTACACACTGGAGTTAGTGATCCCCACCCCACCTTTTAGACTTGCAAAGCGGCACAGTTAAGTCCCTTGGCTTTCATAATGAATCTGACACACATGCCACTCCTGGCTGAGCCAGGGAAAGGCTTCTGGGAAGAAGCCCACCCAGGAGCTCCCGGCCCAACCACATACCCGTTGGTAGTTCTGCTCTTTCTGGATCTGCTCCACTTGCTCCACCAGCTGTCTCACTCGTAGCTGCAGCTCACTCAACTTGTCTTTGGCGGCAATTTCTGCGTAGTCGTTGGCGTGTTCACCCACCTGGATGTCCAGGTGAACTCTCTGGGGACAGACAAGGGAGAGAAAAAGAAATCGGGCAGCCCTGCTCCATCTTCCTGCCAGGCACTGACAGCTGGTCCCCCTACCTTCCTTCATTTGTGCATTTCGTCCAGTGCTGAGGCCTCCACAGTGTCCAGCCCTATGGGGCTCTAGGCAAACAGGCATGAATAAACTTGGCTGACACTTGGACCAAGGCACATACAAGAAGTTCAGGGACTGTGCCCAGATGTTCAGCGGAAACCCAAAATTATTAGGAGACACAAAATCTGACACACTCATCTCACATCCAAAGCACCGCCAGTCTCCAGGCCCCACCAGGGTTTAGAGGTTGAAAGCTACGAGCCCCACGTGGGTCCACTCACCAGCATGCCTCCAGCAAAAAGGGAGAACTTGGTGGAATTGGAGTGAAGACAGATCTGGTGTTCGCCGGGGGTATGGGAGGTGAAAGTGAACCTGCCTTCAGAGCCATATTGCCGGGCCAGGATCACCTGGAGACAAAAGCCTTCAGTGAGTGTTATAGAAAGGATGGGGCTGGAAGGAAAGAAGTCTTAAGGCTCTCTGAGCCTCAAAAGTTAGCCGACAGAGACATAGGCACCCCACACACTAAAAGCTCCAAAGCTGCTCAGCGGTAGTTGCCAAAGCTTGTCTGAGAACTTCTGGGGGCAGGGGTGAAGAATCTAAAATGAAGGTGACGTGGGCCTGCGGTTGGAAAGGGCTCTTTATTCAGAGCTCCTGCCATTTCAACTCTTTTTTGTGTGTGGTTCTTTTTTTTTTTTAATGAAAAGTGACAACCAATGATTTTTTTTCTTTTGCTTTCCTTTAATATCCTTATCGGGCGAAACTAACAGTTGCTTCTTCGTTTTGGAAAGCACTCTGTCCTGTGAAACCTTAAAGTCTGGATGCCAAAGCGTTAGAGTTGACAAAATTCTTTGACTGCCAGCACCACAATTAAGGCACCGACCACACCTGTAAGATAGGTGAGTTTCCATTTCACAGACCAGGAAACCGGCTCAGGGAAGCTCAGTGACTTGGCAGAGTCACGCAGCAGTCGGTAAGAGGTTGAGAGGAGCCGCTAGCACTGCAGCAGCCCAAGCTTGGCCTAGAGCGCAAAGCCGGGCGCGATCTTCTCACAACACCCAACTGTCTTCAGCAGTTCAGCAGATGCGGCAACTAGGAGGGGAAGTACCAGCACCTGCCTGGTCTGGCGCCTAAGCGCAGGGCGGAGGGCTCCGTGGGCTTTGGGGTCGGCTCACCTTGTCCTCTGGGTCCTTCACCTCCACGAACATGCCGAGCCCGGGGGTGGCCGGCTGGTACTCCTCCCGCTGCTTGTCATACAGCTGCGTCCGGTAGTTTCCTGGAGGGAAGTGGGGTGAGTCCAGGTCAGATGAGCGCGAGGTGGGGCGGAGTCGGCCCACGCCAGCACGCGGCGAGACCGGCTGCTCCCCTTTCTGGAAAAGGTGACTCTCCCGCAGCCCCCGCCCCAAGACCAAGGTCTTGTTCCAAACTCTCCCCCTCCGCCCGCACCTATAACCATGGTCTCGTCCGGGATCTCCTCAATAAAGCACTTCTTTTCGGTCTCCCCGATGTGGAAGTAAAGCGCGCCTCCGCGGGCCACAAAACACAGAAGCAGCACGAGGGCGCGAATCACCCTTCCCAGTCCCCCTCCGGGCCGGGGCCCGACGACCCTCACGCCCTGCTCCGCAGCCATCTTGCTCCACCTGCCGGCGCAGTCGCAGCCCGCGGCGCCACGTAGCCCTGCCGCCGCTGCGGGGCCTGCCGGGACAGCGAGTTCGACTGGCTGGACTACAAGTCCCGAGATACCCCGCGGCCGCGGCGAGGCAGTACGCGATTGGGGAGCAGCTTACGCCTGCTTCCGAATTACCGCCCAAGAATTGAAACCTTTTTTTTTTTGTTAATCGCCCTGGCGGCGGGGCGACTACTAGTGTTTATAAAATTTTTACAGATGCTCCAAGTAACGCAGTTTGGTTGCGGTCGCAGTGAATAACGAGCAGATACAGGATTGAAACCGAGGATCCCTGACTTTCCTCGGGATTGCATCCGACACTCTGGGCTTTCTTCTATTTTTAAAAACTGAACTTTAAAAAGTGACACAAACAGTGCACCAACTTATCTTGGAAAAAAAAAATTAAAGTACAAAAACAACAACAACAAAAAGCTGAGGTCTCATTTTACCACGTCTTTGCCACCTGAAACCCATCCATTGGTAAATCTGGTCTACCCTGGTCTGTATGGTCCCCGGTCTCCCCTCCCCCCCTCCTCCACTCCCCGCCCCCCGCACTCTCATCAGTACCGGACATCATCCACGCGAGTGTTGCTGCCGGAGCACTGCCCTGATGACTTCTCTCCGAAGGTGGTTCGGTGTCCCAGGGGCCCGCTAGTAAAGGAGTATTGGGGTCTTGGGCCAGGGTCGCCCCGTTTTGGAGGTCTCTGCGCGCAGTGTGAAATGAACAGAGGTCTGAGTCTGCCCTTCGTGTCCTTCCTGGATTTGATCCATAGTCTAGTGTATTGTGGCAGCAGTTTATGACTGTGTGCATCGTCAAGATTTCATAGAAGTTGGAGGTTTTCTCTCTACTTCGGCTTCTCTTTGTTATTTCGTTTGGCCCTGTGGAGGGAAGTTTAATGGCAATCTGTTGACATTTCCCCCTCATTGTAAGTCTTGATCTCCTTTTTTTTTTTTTTCAACGTTTTTTATTTATTTTTGGGACAGAGAGAGACAGAGCATGAACAGGGGAGGGGCAGAGAGAGAGGGAGACACAGAATCGGAAACAGGCTCCAGGCTCTGAGCCATCAGCCCAGAGCCTGACACGGGGCTCGAACTCACAGACCGCGAGATCGTGACCTGGCTGAAGTCGGACGCTTAACCGACTGCGCCACCCAGGCGCCCCAAAATTGCCCTTTCAAACTTCATGCCAATTACAGTCTCACCAGCAGTGTGTCTGTCCTAATGCTTATTTTCCACACTCTGGTCTAATGTTCTCAACCTTTTTTTTTTTTTTTTTTTTTTTAAATGTTTATTTATTTTTGAGAGAGAGAGAGAGAGATCATGAACAGGAGAGGGGCAGAGAGAGAAAGGGAGAGAGAATCCCAAAGAGGCTCCACACTGTCAGCCTCCAACGCAGGGCTCCAACCCACCAATTTATTAGGTCATGACCCGAGCCCAAATCAAGTATCAGACGCTAAGCTGACTGAGCCAGCCAGGTGCCCCTGGTTGTGTTTTTCTTAATGCTATTATAACTACATGCTATTAGTGTTGATGTAACCATCACACAGAATTAACAAATGATTACAGAATTGATAAACAATAACATTTTATAATAAGTTTCTAGTATTTGTAAAATTAAACTTTTTATGTTGAGATAACTATAGATTCACATGCAGTTGCAAGAAACAATGCAGAAAGATCCAGTGTACCAATTACCCAGTTTCCCCCATTGTAATATCTTGCCCAAGTATAATGCAATATCACAAACAAGACATTGACATTGATAGTCAAGACACAGAACATTTCCATCACCATAGGGATCCCTCATGTTGTGTGTTAAAGCCACACTCACTTCCCTATTCTTTCATCCTTTCCTTTTTTTTTTTTTTTTTTTAATGTTTATTTGTTTTTGAGAGAGGATGTGTGAGAGTGGGGTAGGGGCAGAGAGAGAGAGAGGGAGACAGAGGATCTGAAGTAGGTTCCTCACTAACAGCAGAGGGCCCTATGTGGGGCTTGAAACCACAAGGCATGAGATCATGACCTGAGCCAAAATCAGGAGTTGGACGCTCAACCAACAGAGCCACCCAGGTGCGCTCCTTGTTTTTTTAAATTTTTTTAATTTTTAAAATTTTTAGTTTTGGGAGAGAGAGAGAGTGTGCGTGGAGGAGTAGAGAGGGAGACAGAGGATCCAGAGCAAGCTTTGCATTGACAGCAGAGAGCCTGATGTGGGGCTCAAACTCAAGAACTGTGAGATCATGACCTGAGCTGAAGTCAGCCACTTAACCAACTGAACCATCCAGGCACCTCTTTTTCACCATCTCCTTAACTTCAGACAACTGATCTGTGTTCATTTCTATAATTTTGTCATTTCAAGAATGTATAAATGGAATCATACAGTATATAACCTTTTACGATTGGCTTTTTTCACTTAGTTAATTCTCTGGAGATTTAAGCAGTTTATTGCTTGTATCAACAATTATAGCAAAAAAAGTAACTACTACATACGATGTGTATACATATAATTTGTTTGATATCAGTCACAGAAAAGGGTGAGAACAGAGCTAGCTGTTAAAAGGAGCAGAGAGTTTTTGGGTGTTACTGAAGGTAAACTGGTATAAATTCAAATTGGAATGTTTTAACTTTTAGGATATTAAATGTAACCCCCATGGTAACCACAAAGAAAATAGCTGTAAAATATACACAGAAGAATGTGGGAAAGGAATTTACATGTTTAACTACTAATTTAGAGGAATTTAGGGACCCCTGGGTGGCTCAGTCGGTTAAGCAGCCAACTTCAGCTCAGGCCATGATCTCGCCGTCAGTGGGTTCGAGCCCCGCATCGGGCTTTGTGCTGACAGTTCAGAGCCTGGAGCCTGCTTCAGATTCTGTGTGTCTTTCTCTCCCTCTCTCTCTGCCCCTCCCCTGCTCATGCTCTCAAAAATAAATAAACATTTAAAAAATAAAAGCTTTATAGTTTTATACTTTATATTTAAATCTATATTCTATTTTGAGTTCATTTTTTTAATAAAGTGTGAGGTATAAGTCAAGTCTTGTGTGTGTGTGTGTGTGTGTGTGTGTGTGTGTGTGTGTGTGTCAAAGGATGGCAAATAACTTAGCATCACTTGTTGAAAAGGCTATCTTCAAGGGGTGCCTGGGTGGCTAAGTCCAACTTCGGCTCCGCTCATGATCTCATGGTTTGTGAATTATAGCCCCTCATCAGGCTCTGCGCTGACAGCTCAGAGCCTGGAGCCTGCTTCAGATTCTGTGTCTCCCTCTCTCTCTGCCCCTACCCAACTCACGCTCTGTCTCTGCTCTCAAAAATAAATGACCATTAAAAAAAAATAATAGAAAAGGCTATTTTCAAGAGAATGAGAAGCCAAGCCATAAATTGGGAGAAAATCTCTGTAAAGGATGTATATCAGAAATAATTGCTACCCAAAATATACAAAGAACAGACAAAAAACAACAAAATATACAAAGAACCCTTAAAACTCCACAGTAAGAAATGAATAACCCAATGAAGAAATGAGCAAGAGATCTGAACAGACTGTTCAGCAAAGAAGATCATACATGGCAAAAAAAGCATATGAAAACCTGGTTATGATCATATGTCATTAGGGAAATGCAAATTGAAACAATGAGATACCACCAGGGACCTATTAGAATGATAAAAATCCAAACACTGACAACCAACACCAAATGCTGGTAAGGTTATGGTGCAACAGGGACTCTTATTCATTGCTGGTGAGAATGCAAAATGTTACAGCCATTTTGGATGATAGTTTGATAGTTTCTTATAAGACTAAACATACTCTTAGCATGTAATCCAGCAATAGGGCTCCTTGGTATTTACCCAAATAAATTGAAAAGTTATGTCCACACAAAATCTTGCATAAAGATATTTGTAGCAGCTTTATTTATACTTGCCCAAACTTGAAAGCAACCAAGATGTCCTTCAGTAAGTGAGTGTACAAATAAACTGTGGTACATACAGATAATGGAATATTATTTAGTGCCAAAAAGAAATGGGCTATCAAGCCATGAAAAGACATGGAGAAACCTTACATGCATATTGCTAAGTGAAAGAAGCCAATCCAAAAAACGTTGTTACTGTATGATTCCAACCATGCAACATTCTAGAAAAGGCAAAAGATCAGTGGTTGCCAGGAAGGGAGGAGGAGGGATGAATAGGCAGAATGCAGAGTATTCTTAGGGCAATGAAACTATTCTATATGACATTATAATGGTAGATACATGTCCAAAACCATAGAATGTAAAACACCAAGATGGACTCCCAATGTAAACTAAGGACTTTGGGTGAAAATAATGTGTCAATGTAGGTTCATTGATTGTAACAAATGTACTACTTTGGTGCAGGATATATTCTAAAAGTTTTTATTTATTTTGAGAGGGGGGAGGGAGAGAGAGAGAGAGAGAGAGAGAGAGAGAGAGAGAGAGTGAGCGCAAGCAGGGGAGGGTCAGAGAGAGAGAGGGAGAGAGAATCCCGAGAAGGATCCACACTGTCAGCACAGAGCCCAATGCAGGGCTTCATCCCACAAATTGTGGGATCGTGACCTGAGTCAAAATCAAGAGTTGGATGATTAACCAACTGAGCCACACCAGTGTCCCTATAGTTTTGATTTTTTGACTAAGGCATACAATGTCTTGAAATCAGGTAGACTGATTTCTGCCACTTTATTCTTCTTCACGAATGTTTTAGTTATGCTAGTTCCTTTGCCTCTCCATGTAAATTTTAGAATAATCTTGTCTATGTTAAAAAAAAAAAAACAACTCCTGGGGCGCCTGGGTGGCTCAGTCAGTTGAGTGTCCGACTTCAGCTCAGGTCATGATCTTGTGGTCTGTGGGTTCAAGCTCTGTCAGCACAGAGCTGGAGCATGCTTCAGATTCTGTCTCCCTCTCTCTCTCTGTCCCTCCCCTGCTCATGCTCTGTCTTTCTCTCTGTCAAAAATAAATTGAAAAAATTAAAATAAAACAAAACTCCTGGTGGGACTTTGACATGAATTGTGTTAAACTTGGGTAATAGTTTGGAAAGAATTGCCATATTTACTATGTTGAGTGTTCTGATCTATGAACACAGTATGTCTCTGCATTTATTTGGTCTTCTTTGACTTTTTCTTCATCAGAATTTTGTAATTTTCAGCAAACAGATTTTATGCGTATTTTGTTAAGATTCACGTGAGTAATTCATTTTCTATGAACTGACTGTAAATCATATTGTTTTTAATTTTGGTTTCCTTATATTTATTGTTAGTATGTAGACATGTGATTGATTTGTACATGTTGCTCTTATGTTATACAAACTTGCTGAATTCATTTATTAGTTCTAGGAAATCTATGGATTTCTTAGACTTTTCTAAATATATAATCATGTCATCTACAAATAGGGACAGTTTTATTTCTTCCTTTCCCATCCGCATGCCTTTTTTTTTCTTAGCCTTCTTACAGTTACTAGATCTTCTGATACAATGTTAAATAAGAGTGGTGAGAGGGATACCTGGGTGGCTCAGTCGGTTAAGAATCTGACTCTTGATTTCGGCTCAGGTCATGATCTCACAGTTCGTGGGATCGAGCCCCACATCAGGCTCTGAGCTGACAATATGGAGCCTACTTGGGATTCTCTCTGTCCCTCTCCCCTCTCTCAAAATACATAAAATAAAATTTTAAAAAGTTTTTTTATTATGAATTATATCAAATCTACCAGTGTTTGAGTGGAAATTAAGTCTTTATGTAGTTTTATATGCTGTAATATGTCTTCAAATAAATCTCTCCTATTAAAAAAAACCCATCAAATTCTGAGGTCTTGGGTGAACCACAGATGGGGCAAGTAGATGTGGCACCGCAGTGTCTTCTTTTAATCTGGCAAATGGCACCCAGGTTCA